CATTTCGCATGGGAAATGTGTCCCCACGTCGTACAGCCCATTAGCTGCATGGGAACGGGTTGGGTCGCGCCCCCCATAGGAGGACTATATGGGCGTAGGGGTATTCAGCACACCCCTAGGCTAGGTACCATGTAGTTCTAGATAGCCATGTAGAGGTAGCGCCTCATAGAGAGATACCGACCATATTAGCTTGGCATAAGGAACCTCTAGGTGACTAATGAAAGGACGATGAACTGGTGAAACCCAAGGGGCAAGCCCCAAGAGACTAAGGTTAGAACCCGATGTCCTAGAACCGAATTAGGAAACCGTGGGAGTTCTGCTAAATTAAGATGCGAAAAGAGCCTACAAGTAGGTGGCTTACTGAGTATAATTTTTATACTCATCCTTGCTATGTTTTCTTTTTTTTTTCAGGGGCGCGAGGCGTCGGTCAAGAGTGGGCGTGATCTGAAGGGAATTGTCACAGAGGAATGGGTTGTCCCGGGGCGTCAGTCCAGTCTTAGTCATCATTTTTGTATTCACATTCTTTTTAAATTTATTTTCCAAACGGTCTTGTGTTCTGTGTTTATCATTCGAAAAACTTTATTGAAATTTGATGATTTTCGCTACTTCATATTTAAATCTCTTGTGCATCTGTGTCGTGTCGTTAGTCACTGTCCGTAGTAAAATATTGGGCTGTGACAACGTGTTATACGTCGCCGAACACCACAGAACAGAAAAGGGCCCGCATGATATCATGGCGAACATAAATATCGTATTTCATTCTTTCGTAACATAAAGGGGAAGAATCCCGATGCACGTGACATACATATATGCATGAGGTCCCTTAACATATCTAACATGGCATTACATAAGCAGTGCTAACATCGCATTTACGTTTCTTACATTACATGGCATCTCACATGACTTACATTACATGGCATATTACATAAACATTCCAGTTGCATAAACATCTCATGACATGACTCGATAATTCTACGTGTATCTATGGCATCAATCAACATATTCATGGCATATAATACTAACATCTCATTCATGACTTTACATAACATAAACAGTCAACACCATCTATACATCACATAATCATAACACATAAATATGGTGCATGTAGGGGCCACAGGGCACGCACCATCATACAACATGTAGTAAGCTAACTCCAACAGTAAGGTCACTTACCTCGATGGTCTTGGTTGGAGTCACTCACAACGAGCTAATCCCAGCGGTTAAATACGTCCTATGATAATCACATAAAAATTTAGAACCTTTCATAAGGTACCCTAGCTAAACCTCATGCTATTTATCAAAATAAACCCCTGACCTAAGCTATCTTTAACATTTAGGAACCATACTGACCTCGGATGGTAAAACTAAGGGCAGAAACAGCTTCGGAGGGGCCAAAAACCTTGGAATCGATATATTATAGTGATACCTTGCCGCTAAGCCTAGTTGCCAAGCCGGCCAACTAAGCCACCAAGTCGAGCTGCGGGAATTGACGAAACCGAACAGATTTCGTACACGTGCGAGCCGACCCGCACTGTGTACTCGTGCGAAGCTGCCGGAGCTGCTGGGTGTGCGTCTGCGGCTTGACCCGATTCCAAAGATCTCGCCTTCCTTACTCGACAAGTGACGAAACCCTAGTTTCCGCCTCCCCGATTCCAGCGACACGCCGACAATCCCACAACGTCCTCAACACCGATTTCCAACGGTCAACCTTCTTTGACAGAATGATCCCAACATCAATGCCTTACTTCTACTCGATTCTTCCTCCGAAGAGCAACCCCAACGTTCCAGAGGAAAGTTTGGAGAGAAAATCGTTTTCAAGGGGTAAAAGGTTGAGCACAGGAATATAAAAATAATACGAAACATTTGCATTCTAGGGTTTTTTTTAGGATAAGGAAACTCAATAGGAAGGTAATAAAAGTCTAGCACGAATCCTCCTATTTTTGGGAGATTACATTTAATTATTTATTTTATTTTTAGGTAATAACTTGCTTGTTGAAAATTGCACATTTTCTGCCTAGAATACATGCATAACCTAATATCCTATGATATATAGAAATAAAATAAAATCTTAACCCAATCAAATAAAAATGAAAAATCTGAATCGTTACACAGAGTATGCCCACTGGATAAGGACAGTGGCCTAGCGGTGTGCGAATTATGGGCTGTGTGTAGAGTATATGGTACACGTCCACGATTACCCGTTAGGACAGCACCGTACGGAAAAAGAAACGAAACGAAACGAAAGATAGGTCCCATCATTTTATTGCATGTAATTGTTGCATAACCTCGATAGGGGGTCACTTACTGAGTATTTCTTTAAATACTCAAGCCATGTGCTACTACATTTTTCAGGTTAAGGCAAGGCACTCATGTACGGCTAACGACGACATCGCAACTCATGACCATGACACATGCATAGGGTAGTGGTATTTATTTTCTTAAACTTAGGCTCGACTAGGTTGTTTTTAACTTAAACTCTTATTCATTTTGTTTAGTCTTTTGTTGTGCCGTTTTAAAGATGTTTTCGAAACACGTAAGTTCATGGCTGTGGTTTAAGATAAAGATTATGTTTTATGGAATTTAAATGAAGGCTTCCGCATTCAATGTTTATGGTAAGTATACAGTAGCGACCTTAAATTAAATAGAAAATTTCAGTCGTTACAAAAAACATCTCAACAGAGTCTGTTGTTTGTTACTAATAAAAAATCACTTCAACCATCCATTTCATATACATTATAAACAAGAGATATTAACGAACACAATACTTCCAAACTTTTCACATATCCAATAAGGTATTAACAAAAAATCATTTTCAAATAAGTTTAACACATGTTATAAGAAAAATAATCGAATCAAGTACTTTTTCCAAAAGTTTTCATCCCCTCCAACTCCCCCACCCCCTCGCTACCACCACCACCACCACCACACATACGCTCAATCTTATGATAAGTAATTATTTGTCTGTTCAACCAAACCGCTTCAACCGCCCCTTTCACATACTTCATAAACAAAGGATATTAATAAACATAATACTTGCAAACTTAAAAATAAGTAATTTTCAAACAAGTTTAACATATGAGTGTCTTAGCAATGTGTGAATTCACGGTTGTCCATCCTTCTTTGTGTGAACCTTTGTCCATAACATAATCCTTGAGATCGAAGTTGGATCCGAAGAATTTTTCTTCTGCAAAATGAAATAAATATACTAAATTCACACATATAACATGAGAGTAGAATAAAACTACAATATTGATATTTACCATCTCTTCAGCCAAACGGACATATCCTTTTCTACTACATGTAAGAGGGAGTTGTCTCTTCTTCATGGCTTTAAACTTTTCACTTTTCAACTACTCAATAAGACAACATATGTTTTTGTTATATCAAAGTATATAATAATTTTAAAAATATTATACATAAGTTTTTCGATATATAAATATTCATTATCATGAAATTTGACAAAGTCCATCCAATCATCTACAGATTGCAAATGATCTGTTGCAGTGGTACTTCTTCTGTTGGGGGCATTGCCAATTTGTTTTACCATGGGAGATTTTCCAGCCATCCATAATCTACCCATTTGTTGAAAAATAAACTTTTTCTGCCAATCATTGTTCACAATGTACCTTGATTAAAGAACTAAATGGTTATTAGTAATATTATACAAATGATTAAAACTAGATAAATGAATTAAAATTACTTCATACCTCCATAGACTTCCATAACACTAATTTTAGCGTGGTAGGTAATTTCTTCCAATTCTATAACGTCACAGGTACAACTTCCCTTACAAGTGGACCAAGAAAAGAAGTCAATCTTACAAATTCATCCCCTATGGGCTGTCCATATTCATTAAAAACAAGTTTCACTCTAGATTGTCCATCAAAAGCTATTGTATTCATCTTTGTTGGACCTCTTTTTCTTTTTGATAGAGTTGTTGTTTCATGGGGGTTTCCACTAATTACATGATCTTCTTTTCCAGTTCTATTTTCATTACAAACTTCAAATTGCCTAAGGGTTGCTAGCCTTGTGTGAGTAGCTCGGGAGTCTATTGTAGGAATTGAAATATGATTAGGTTTCAATGTCTTCCCATTACCATTAGGTGAAAAGGGTTCAGGGAGGACAATAATAGGGTGGTTAGGTATATGTGATTTTTCTCCTTTCAACCCTTTCAACTTGTAGTTTCTGGTCATGCAACATTTCATCACTACCAATCTTTCTACATCTACATTCTTTAAGTAGAGTAATATCAATATCCCCCATACTTTTTTCAAAATGTTTAGTATGATGAGACCTTTTTCTTCGAGTGACTTTTAGACAACCGATATCTTCTTTGTGTTCTAAAGTTAAAGTTTGAGGTGGTACCTTATCTCCCTCCATTTGAATCTGAAACCAAAATTAATAGATAATCATTATGCACGAAATGAAAATAAAATCAAGAATGCAATTTCACATCATTAACAAAGGATCATCACAAAATAAATATTATATATGGAGTATAATGTGTTCACAAAAAATATTTATACAATGTCCCAAATTGTTCATCAAATAAAAACGCCCTCACAATCTTCTCTTGCATAAGTGATCTCATCATTTTCATCAATGTCTTCCAATGTACTTAGAATTTGTTCATTGACAACCATCGTACACTATATTCATGATTGTACATATCAAAGTCATGAAATCCTTTGTGTGGTCCTTTTAATAAGACATACCAATTTGAAGTATCATTTTCTCTAACATAAAACCTGTGTTTGGCTTGTGAGGCCAAGATGAAAGGTTCACGTACAAATATCCTTTGACTTTGATGTAAGTTAATGTAAGAATTGCAATAAGTGAAGAGAGAGAAATGTCAACTGTACTGCTCTTTTAGGGTTTTTTTTTTAAAAAAAAAGAAAAGAAAAGAAAGACGGCCGAGAGTAAAAGTGAAAAGAAGAAAGAAAAAAGGAAAGGAAAAGAAAGACAGCAAACACGAAAAGAGAAAAAGAAGAAAGAGAAGACAAAGGAGAGGGTTGAGTGGAGGAGACGAACAACGGAGCTTGAGGCGCTCGTCAGCAATGGTGGGGCCAAACGGTTGAGGAAGGGAGAACGCCGACGGTAAGCCCTAGTGGTGTGATTTTCGTTGTTCCTTTCCAAAACCCTAATACATTTCACTGGATCGGTGTACCTAGATTATTGTCGAGGGAAGTTGGTGAGTCCTTGTGAAGAAGAAGACATGGGGTGCTGAGAGGAAAGGAAGATCAAGAAGAAGGTGGGACAAAGAGGCCGAAAATTGAGGGGGCACGGCCTGACTCGACCCGACCCGACCCACATGTACAGAACCGAAACTCGATTTTTTCCATTTCACACCATTTCCTTCGTCTTTATTCAGACTTATGTACTTGACTCACACATTCCATAATGCCTTATTATAGGAAAATTCCAATTAGCTTAGTCAAGGGGACACTTGAAGACTCGATAAAGTTTTGGGAAGTCTATGATCAGGTAAGTAACCATCTAGAGCAAGTTTTTAAGTAATTGCTTGTAGGAGTCGGTTTGGATTTGTGCCCAAATAATTTAGTACCGTATTTTGGAATGGATAAAGTTAGTTCATGGAGGTGGTACTTCGATAATGTGTGTGGATGTACTTTGATTGTCGTTATGGTTATATACATTCGTTGGCATGAATGTGAAACTGCTGATAGGCGTTTGAGATGGTATGTTTTTATGTTGAGCTAGATGGTTATTATGTGATGTAGCATGGTGACGTGTTGTTGCTGTGGTTCTTTGTTAGGCATTGGTGTGGGGCTTGGGTAGCCCATGGTTACCCTTTGTGAGTTGGATCATTTATTAGGTGCTAGTTATCATAAGTTATGAAGCACATAGATGACAGTGTACCGTTTTCGTAGTCACCCACAAGGGGGGTAATCACAGTATATTACTGTGATAGCATGTTAGAGGTGCTTAGTGGGATGAGCCATGACCTTTTTACTGATCCAGCCAAGCGGCATAAGGACAAGTAGTTATTGTTCTTAAGACAGGTAGTTTTACTGATCTGAGCCGACAAGGGCGTAAGACAGGTAGTGACGGACCCGGCCTTGAAAGGCACAGTGGCAGGTAGTTACTGATCTTAGGAACAGTAAGATGTTGCTAGACACCACTAGGTCTCTAACTAGCGACTATTTGACCATAAAACTTAGGATTCAGGAGAAAAGTAGATTTGTGTCGGTGGCGGGGACGTGTGGAGTCGTGCAGCTGCAGAAGGGGACCCTTAGATTGAGTCCTCTTCTCCCATGTCGTTTTGGTTATGATTTTGACGTTTTTTGAAAACCTGCGATATTTTGTAACCATTTCTTTTGATGTGACTCCGTGGATTCTCGTTATGTGCAGTCTTTTTTTGAAATGTATATATCACGCAACTTTTAACTTTTAGTCTCTTGTTCAAAGAACAAGAAGTATTGAAAGATTTTTTTTTTACTCATGAGTCCACGTGGCGACCCGTGATTTGGTATTTTTGAAGATCGGTCGTTATAGCTTTGGTATCAGAGCCCCAGGTTGTTAGGTCCTGTAGACCTTCCTTAACTAGAGTGTCAGTTGGGCCCTCTGCAGCTCAGCTCGTAGCCATGTTCCTCCTCGATCAGGTAACCCAGGGAAGTAAATTACAAGGGGTAGTAATAGCTGTAGTCTTATTGTAGTTTAACTTTTCATGATGTGACATGAATCCATAGACCGTTATGGTTAAGGTTTGGATTGGACATGTAGTAACCTGCTTATTGTACAATGTAGATACTATGACACCAACGTAGATACTATGACACCAACGTAGATACTATGGCACCTAAGATTAAAAGGAGGAGGGGTAGTAGAGCCACCAGGGCTTTAGAGGAGTCTGAGCCTGCTCAAGATTAAGCCCCAGAACAGACACCTGAGAGCGTGCAAGAAGGCATAAAATGTCCACTACCTCTTTTTCAAGCTGTAACATAATTTCTCTATCAATGACACGTTGACATAGTCTATTAAAGTATGAACATAGCCTATATATTGTATGTCTGGGACCTTTCGGGAGCAAGCCTCTAAGCACCACAGATAAAAGTTGTTGCATAAATACATGACAATCATGAGATTTCATTCCCATCACTTTGCAATCTTGTAATGATACACACTTTGAAATGTTGGAACTGTATACATCATGCAACTTTAGATTATACAACCTTGAACAAAATAATTTCTTCTCAAACTTCGACAATGTATGTGGAGCAGGAGGTAGGTAAGTTTGACCACCTCGCTCTTGAGGATATAGGTCTGGCCGAATTTTCAAAAGTTGTAAATCTTTTCTTGCATTACTTCCATCTTTTGACTTTCCATTTATATCTAAGAATGTACCTATAATACTCTCACATACATTTTTTTCTACATGCATGACATCCCAGTTGTGGTGTATTGGTAATTCCTACCCAATAAATTACATTTCAAATTGCTAGTGGCCAAAGTTTGAAACTTAATAACTTAGACTCAATAAAATACACCATAAATTTAGGGTTTGTCAACCTTTCAATAGGGTAGATCGAAGAAAATGGATGATACGATAAGGAATCACTACAAGGGGAGTAAGATTCGGATTACCTTGTCGATCGAATATCTCAAGTCAAGAAGAACGCTTGATTGAGATTCGAATCACTCCACAAGCAAGATCGATCATGTCTAGCTTGAATGATTCTTGTTGATCAAATATCTCAACACAAGAACACTTGTTTGAGATTCGAATCACTCCACAAGCAAGATTGATCATGTCGAGCTTGAATGATTCTACATGCAACCTAAACTACATAGAGTTGCAAAGAAACTCAGCCATTGGCTAAGAAAAAGCACAAATGCTTCTTTTAATATATTTTCCAAGTCTTATTACAAATACAACATAGATGGTTTTATATAGCCTCAAAATGAAACTATTAAAGGCATTCCAAAAGTTGTAACATTCACACTTTATGGCCATAATTAGCCATTATGTAAATGTAACCGAAATTAAATAAAAAGTCTTAAAACACAATAACTCTACATTATAACCCACCCAAAATTTACAACAATCAAACTTTATTCTTCTTCAATGTAGCATGAATTGAAACATCTTTTGATAATTTTGACAACCTTTTCTTCACATCTTCATTGAAGCATATTGTATGATTGATGTCTCTTGGTTCATATCAATGGATCACTTCTTCCACCTTTGACTTGTGCACACCATAAATTTTGTGATGTCCCACATTGGTTGGGGAGGAGAACAAACCACCATTTAAAAGGGTGTGAAAACCTTCCCCTAGCAGACGCGTTTTAAAGCCTTGAGGGCGAGCCCGACGCCCTCAAGGGAAAGCCCGAAAGAGAAAGCCTAAAGAGGACAATATCTGCTAGCGGTGTATCTGGGTCGTTACAGTTGGTATCAGAGCCCTAGGTTATAGATCTTGTAGACTAGCTTACGATGTAGGCTTAACGTACTTCCATGGTCCTCCAGCAAACGCGTCCTCACCGTGAGGTACGCCTTTTTTTAGAAGTAAAGCTTCTTAGTTAAATGATGTATGCAATAGTGAATGTGTATTTTGTGATGCATGATATGATATCCATGTGTTATATGTTGCATGATTTATTATATGTCATATACTACCGGCTGGTTATGATGATGCTATATAGTTAAATGTATGAGTGATTTGTATGACTACGAATGTTATAGAATCTATTAGATAAGTATGTGAGTTAGTAGTTACGTGCACTGTTTAGATGCCACCTAGAACTCGAGGAGGAGGTCTTAGGGGACGGCCCCCACTTAGGAGTAGAGGAATAGGAAGGGGAGTAATGAGAGACGAGAGGATTCTGTGGAGCAGCCTGTTTGCGTGAAACCCCTTTATCGTCAGTGGGACAAAAGCGTCGTCATGAACATGATTCTGTAGAGCAGCCTGTTCACGGGAAACCCCTTTATCGTCAGTAGGACAAAAGCGTCGTCACGAACATGAAAACAAATTAGATGACAAGCCTAAGTGTAATAAGTGTGGGAAAAATCACTGGGGTCAATGTTTAGGTCACATTAGAGCCTGTTTTCGGTGTGGAAAGAAGGACCACATGGCCAAGGATTGCTTGGGAGGTGGCACAAAGGATTCTGGAAACTAGTAGGGGAAGTTACGTAATGGGAACAAGGGGATGGGATAAGAGAAAAGTATCTAGAGTTGTTTCTGGCTTCAGAGACTTTCGAGGACGAAAGTCCTTTCTAGGAGAGGATAATGTAACGATTCAGATTTTCCATTTTTGCCTTATTTGGTTGATTTTTATTTTTATTCCTATATATGACAAGATATTGTGTTATGCATTTATTCTCGCAGTAATTTTCAACAACGAAGTTATTACCTAAAAATAAAATAAATAATTAAATGTAATCTCCCCGAAAATAGAAGGATTGACTTTTATTATCTAATAGAAACATTCCTATTTCTTTGAGTTTCCTTATTCTAAAACCCTAGAATGCAAATGTCTTTGTATTATTTTTATATTCCTATGTCCAACCTTTTACCTCCCTTGAAAACGATTTTCTCTCCAAACTTTCCTCTGGAATCTTGGGGTTGCTCTTCGGAGGAAGAATCGGGTAAAGAAGGCAAGGTTTTTGGAATAGGGTCGAGCCACAGACGCATATCCAGCAGCTCTGGCAGCTTCGCACACGTATGCAGTGCGAAATTGGCTCAGTTCCGTCAATTCCTGCAGCTCGACTTGGCGGCTTAGTTGGCCGGTTCGGCAACGAGGCTTAGCGGCAAGGTATCACTATAATATATCGATTTCAAGGTTTTTTGCCCTTCCGAAGCCGTTTCTGCCCTTAGTTTTACCATCCGAGGTCAGTATGGTTCCTTAACGTTAAAGACAGATTAGGTCGGGAGTTTATTTTGATAAATAGCATGAGGTTTAACTAGGGTATGTTATGAAAAGGTATTTAACCCCCGACCTAATGTATTTAACTAGGGTATGTTATGAAAGGGTATTTAACCCCCGACCTAACTAGCTAAACCTTATGCTATTTATCAAAATAAACCCTCGACCTAATCTGTCTTTAACGTTTAGGAATCATACTAACCTCGGATGGGTAAAACTAAGGGCAAAACGGCTTCAGAAGGGCCAAAAACCTTGGAATCGATATATTATAGTGATACCTTGCCGCTAAGCCTCGTTGCCGAACCAGCCAACTAAGCCGCCAAGTCGAGCTTCGGGAATTGACGGAACCGAGCCGATTTCGCACTGTGTACGCGTGCGAAGCTGCCGGAGCTCCTGGATATGCATCTGCGGCTCGACCCTATTCCAAAAACCTTGCCTTCCTTACCCGATTCTTCCTCCGAAGAGCAACCCCAAGGTTCAAGAGGAAAGTTTGGAGGGAAAATCATCTTCCAGGGAAGTAGAAGGTTGGGCATAGAAATATAAAAATAATATGAAGACATTTGCATTTTAGGGTTTTAGGACAAGGAAACTCAGAAAAATAGGAATGTTTGCAATTTTAGGAGGTAATTCTTCTTCTATTTTTCCATCAAACCATGTTTTTTTCCTTCGATATGGATGCAACTTTGACAAGAATCGACCCCATATATAAATACTTTTTTCCATTCTTCAACCAAAGAGACCGAGTATTATCTCCACAAATTGGACATGCGTATTTATCTTTTGTGGTTCATCCAGCCAAATTTCCATATGTTGGAAAATCATTTATAGTCCACATGAGAATTGCTCTTAAATTGCAATATCATAGGCTTGTACTCCTTTCTATAGATGTTGTAAATCTTCCACAAGAGGATGTAAGTAGACATCAATATCGTTTCCTGGTTGTCTTAGGCTAGAAATCAACAATGTTAACATTATATTTTCCTTTTTCATACATAACCAAG